TTAGGAAAGTATTAGACCCACATGTGACTGTTCTGAAATTTATTGTAATTTTATGAAATTTAGGACTGATATTTAAGTAAAGAAATTTCATATTGCTAGTTTCAATTTTTAACCTCTTATATAAAGCTAAAAAAAATTTAATGACAATATTATAATTTAAATTACGAAGTTTAAAATTTTTACTATTTTTTAACTCCGTATTTAAAAGTGCTACATAAAATTTTTTACAGAAGATTGCATAATTATTGTTAGCTTAATTGATATATATAATTAACTAATTAAATATATTTATCCTACAATGTTTTGATAAGTTGTTATTGCCAAAATTAAGAAGAAAAAATAATAATAAATAACATAAGAAAATTCGAAAGAAAGTCTTCCATCCTAACTCATTTTAAAGAAAGAGAATGAAATAAAAACTGTTTTCAACCACAACAGAAGACCCCAAGGCTATTTAACCCCTCAACTATTCAAAGAAAGTAAAGAGGCTTTTCTCCTAACCCCCCAAAAGATCTCCCCACTAGAACTTTTACTCGTATTGGTAAATGAAGGGAGGACAGATGGGAGGCGTGGTTTAGGCTCTTTTCCCAATTTTTTTAAGAATTTTTTCATCTTTCTTTCCTAATAACACATTTCATAATTGAAGAAAATAATTACTAGTTATTTCTTCTGGTAGCTTGAAATGTATAGTTCGAGTAAGTGAACTCAAAAATAAGGATTTACTAAATGAATTTTGATAAAAAACGGATTTCAAGAAGATGTCTCTATTACCGATATTTAAACTCCATTAATAATTTAAAATTTATGGTAAAACAAAAAGTGATTTCATAAGACCTTAGAGTAAACTATGAACTTTCAAATGCTGAAAGAATTTTTCCAAAATATCAAAATGCAAAAAAGTTATTAGCAAATGAAGCTCCCATAGAAAAAGCATTAGCAGCTGGCATTGAGAGGGTAGGTATTGCGTCCTCTTAAGTAGTGTTAAATATAATTAGTTATATGTTAAGCATTTGTTTAAATTAATTTTGTTATGTAGTCTCAAGTTATAGTTTAGGTTAGCTATGCGCTTAGTATTTATTCAGAATAATTTCGTATTTTTATAGAAATAAAAACTTAGTTACGAAGTAATTATTTAGATTTATTTTTGATCCTTTTCGAAATAGCAGCAGAAATTTTAAACATATAGTGCTATTGGACAGCATACTGTCATATCAAGTATTGGTGAGTAAGCTTGCCTTTTTCAAGCAATAGCATGTATATATGTTATACCAGAAAGTTATGGTTAGCTTGGTTTGTAAAGCAGTAGTAAAGCACATAAAGAGATTTTGGGACGAGTTTTCTTTCGTATCTCACGACAGAGATGGACATAATTTTAATACTTTTGCTGCCTATTGTATGGAAATGTCCTGAACTTATACTTATGGGGGTTTGTGTTATTTTGTGGCTGCCAGACAGATTCTAAATTATTATTAAAATTCAACGCATATCATAAGATTCAACTGGGTTGCCACTACACTTAGAATAGGGAAAACCTGGAAAATACAGGAATTTTAAAAATCACCAAAATATACAGGGAAAATGGAAGGAATTTTTAAGCTTTTCTTTACAAACTGGAAAAATACCAGGAATTTGTTTTTTATTTTTGTCTTTTAAAAAAATAGTGTCCATTCAAAGTGCAATCTCTGGAATCTTTAGTGAAGGTATTTCAGCTATTTTAAATATTTCATTCACTATAGCATTATTTAAGTATGTTCAGCTGTTTCTTTTTTACTTTAAGTTTTTCTAGCAATTAAAACTAGTATAGTTAGCCCAATATAGCTCACACAAGAAAACACTAATTGGGTTTCCTCTTAATATATTGTGTATCACACATACAGGGAAAACAAGGGGAATTTTTTTCTTCCAAAATCGAGTGGCAACCCTGTTCAATAACTTAGACAATATTGCGAATATCTCTTGAAAATAATTAAAACTGAAACCACAGGGAGTAGAGGGGAAAATGGATTCTCTATGATATTTAAAAACTGATGAAGTTGGTGGGATGTATTAGTCTTATAGAGGGTTAAACTATATATTTTAATTCATCAATTTCCAACAATTTATGTTTCAAATTGTTTAGTTGTTATATTATATCATTTCATACCTATAATTTACCTTATTTAGACTTCAAGTTGTGAGCACTAGTGTTGGTGGTGTGCCTGAAGTTTTGCCCCCCGAACTTGTTTGGTTAACTGAACCAACCGTCATTGGTAAATATAAGTTTGACTGTCTAAATTTGAATTTTTTTTAAATGATCAAGCATATTAAATTAATTTTGTGGTATATATTTTTTAAGAATATTGTTTTCATATGCTTAATTTATTTTTCAACTTAACTGCCTCAAACTATAATCAGGTTTCATACATTAGGGTGCTTAGCATTTTTAAAAAGTGCTTAAAGGTGCTAATTTTTTATTTATGTTTTTAAAAGCCCTTAAAGGTACTTTTTTATTCAGGGTTATGTCAAAAGATCTTAATTTTCTATCTTTTAAAAATAGATTTTTTTCTTTGCCGTGTTGATTGGAGTTCTAAATTACAAAAAAAGCATGATTTTCACAATTTTCTCTGCAATATTTATCAGAATCTAGTTATTTTATCATGATTATGTAAAGTTTTTAAAAATGTTTTTGAATTTTATTGATTTTATGTTTATAAATTAAGAACTCTAAATGATAGAAAAAAATAATTTTTATTACTGCACAGTGATTAAAATATTTCCGGAAAGTGATTAATAATAGTTTTGAGTGCTTAAAAAGTACTATAAAGGTGCTTATTATTGAAAAATCTGGCTATGTACCTACACAGACACAATAAAAGAAATTTTAAAAAATCACATTTATAAAATTATGTAAAAGTTTAAATCTATTTTTAAAAAAATCTATTTTTTATTAAAAAATTGATTTAACACTTATTGCTAAATATCAATGTAAATTTTTTTAAAAGACATATGTGTTAATTAACTACAAGAGTTTTGTACAGTGATTTACCAGTATTCCTAACATTTATATTTGATTTTACAATAATTGTAGCTGCGGCAAAAAAGAAGAGGAAAAAAGTGTACGAGGGGTTCCTTATATTTCTTTCTTGCTATCTACTTAAAATTTTTTGTGTGATACGTTTGTCTAGTTTATTCTTCATATAATTTTGTTAACAAAGTTTATTTTCAACTTCAATTATTACAAAGTGCAGAAAAAAAACTTGGACAAAGTTATTATATCATAGAATAGAAATAACTAATTTCTTTCTAATTTGTGTGTTCATTTCTTTTTACTTTAATTATAAACTATTTTAAATTATATCTATTAGTTAACATATTGTTGTTTTTGCTTTTTTACAATCTGAAGCCAAAAGTGTGCTATTTTAGAGTCGTTTAAGTGAAGAAAACGTGAAATCGTTTGTTTGCTCTATACGCAAAAGTTTGGACTCTTTAAAGCAATTGCTTTGGCGGGGATAGGAGACAGACTTACAATTCTTTGTTGAAAATTTCAATAAGCGTTTGCGCCTCTGCATCGGTGCAAAAGGTTGCCACTCAGCCGCTCTGAAACCAATTAAATTAGTTTAATAGTAAAAGTTTACTCTTGTTATTATTGAAAGTTATTTGAGCAAATTTTTTTCTTGCTCCTTGTAGTAAAAGTGCTTTATAACATTTATGTGTATCGATTTGACTAAACTAAAACATTAATAATATTAATTTTACAGTTCTGCAATGATAAATCAATTACAACAGGAATTTATATTCCTGTTTCTGGAATTTATAATCTTATTCCTGTTATAATAAATTTATACTTGCGCCGTAAATTTGATTAAAGTCAGATGTGTTTGTTGCTTCCCTGAAATGTTATTAAAAATGTTGAATGGAAATAAATAAAAGATGAAAAAAATAATATGTACACAAGAAATATTTTATGACTGTTTTGCCAAAAAATTTAATGATAAATATTTGTCGCTACTGGATCATAATCAAGAGTCTGTGACTTGTCTATATTAAATAATTAAACTAGCATTCATTATCCATATTTCTATTTAAAAAGAAAAATACATTATTTGAATGTCATGTTCCTTTAAACAGGTTTGATAAAAGGTTTGGAGCGAGCTATGGATGCTAGGATAAACAATAAAGTAGTCCCTAAAGATGTTGCCTATAAAAAACTGTCAAAAATGTATAAGTGGGATGATGTTGCTTTCAGGGTCGAAAATGTTTACCATCAAGTTACCAATGAGCCAGTTGATACCCTCTCTTGTCGGTTGAAGAAGTAAGACTCAAAATATTATGTTTTTTAATCAAATGAAAGAATTAACTTTTTACTTTTTGTAAAGCATCGAGAATGAATTCCTAAACATTTTATTTTATATCATATTTACTTTATTCTTATTTTTTAAAAATTGGCCCTGTTTGATAAAAAAAATATTCTTTAATAAATAAAAAAATGAATTAGGAGATATTATTTAAATTAATTTAAGTTGAATTATTGAATGAATATTATGCTTTTTAAATTTATTTAATCTTTATTAGGTTATTTTAAAAAAGGTAATTTATGCATGCATATTGTGAAAGCTTACATTTATGTAACTAAAAATCAGAAAGGTCAAAAGTGATCAACTTTTTAAAATCCTTTTTACATCTGTAGGACATAAAAAAAGGAATTTTTTATGCCCTATTCATGTAGAAAGGTTTAAATAAATAAGTAAAAGACTTGATTTAATGATTTAAATCATACTTTTTTTAAGTTGAATTAATGAAGGGATAATCAGGTTTTGAATGGTTTAAAGTTATGTCTTTTTTAGATTATTTAAACAAAAGACATAATGTTTGTTTAAGCTTAAGTGTATGTAAATAATACTCACTTGTATCGGAAAAGGCAACATTGATTGATTGTTTTTATGTATTTTCTACATAAACCCTATTAATAATTTTATAAATTGTGCATAGGAAATAAAAACAAACATTAGAAACATAACACAAGAAAATATTTTACTAAGTTAATAACATTCTAAATCGACAGATGTTAATTAGTGATATAAAACAAGGAAAAATCTTATTCATAGCATTTAAAATTTACAAGCATTAATTAGTAACAAAGAAGAAAATATCTAGTTGATCTTAAAATTAATAAATAATTATTTGTAGCTTGAAATGAGATATCTTACTAAATTCATAGCATTTAAAATTTCTAATTTTTAAAGTATGAAATATTCTCATATATACCCGAAGAAGAAAAAAACCTCACCTTTTCTATATTAAGTAAAGAATTCAAAATTTTTAAGCAATTAAAAACAATACTTCCAATGGAAAAATGCACTTAGCAGTGAATCCAAAAGGAATTGAAACAAATGAGACAATGAAAAAAATTGGATAAATATGACAACCAAAGCTGATGTCTTCAGGCGGTACCAGTTCCGGAAGTCATAAAAGCAAAACCTTTTCTATTGAGAAAGCAAGACGAAAGTCTGAAATTGCCCTCTCTGTACCCCATTTTGTACTAACATTTTTTACTAACCTCCCACCTTTTATACTAATTAATTCTGACTCTAAATACAAACTCAAGATAGAAGAAAAGCATATAATCTATTTAAAAAAATTACGATAAAAGCTTAATGTATTCAGCATGTCATGATACAAGAAATCGCCTCTCAGGACTAGTCTCCCAGTTGCTGTCAACATGCTAATATTAAAAATACAAAAAATTGTATGGTTATAATAAGTTAAAAATTGTTAGCCATCCGCTATAGTAAAAATTTTTTTGTTGTTGAGTGAAATACATTTTTATGCTGTTTAAATAAATATATATGTTTAATAAATTAAGCGGCATAATGGAAGATGTTTTAATTTACACCTGTCAGATATTTACGTTAATAAAGCAATTATATATCACCACCATATCTTCCTTCGTACAAAAGCTATTGAGAAGCGTTTCTCTGCTATTTTAAATCTTTTGATTTATTCATACATTTCAAATGGATGTGCCTTTAGGTGTCTACATACCTACCATTATTTAACTTCTTTCCAACTAACTATTTCAACCAACATTCAGTATTATGAATGATGTCAGAAATTATAGCACACTATTACACTTTTTTTATTTCTATTTTAACTCTATTTTAGTCTTTTTTATTTCTATTTATGTGTAGTTGCTGATACCATGTTACGCTAAAAAAGACCCTTTTAAAGTGTATGAATAAATCTTTTGTTCACACTTCAAATTTGTTCACACTTCAAATGGATGTGCCTTTAGGTGTCTACATACCTATCATGGCCCCTTATTTAACTTCTTTCCAGTATTTGGTAGACTTAGTAACTACTTTTTCCTCAAACCTAATGAGTTTGTGACCAATATCAAGTAGTCTTTTCCATTTAATAGTCACTTTGGTCTTTGCCAACATTTTTTTTATTGGATTAAATTAAACTTTTAATAAAATCTGTATTAGAAACAATCTAGGGCTATAAAAAGTTAATTAAGCATAAAAATATTATAAATATGTGACAACATTTAGTTAAGCATACTGACTCTAAAGAACCTTCTTTTTGCATTGATGTACTTATCACAATTTAAAAGAAAAGAAAAAAACGTTGGAAAAAATTACCGGTTGTTTATTTAATTGAAGTAGCCACTTTTTTTGTTGACTCGCCATTTGAGGAGGGGATATTTTCAAGTCTAAACTAATGAGTCATGTCTTTCCTTTCACAGATTTTGGCTTCAAGGATATGTAGCTGGAGCTTTCTTTATGCTTCTACAAGCCATAGAACATTTAGTATATCTCTTCCTCTCATGGTATATACCAGAAGATGTAAGTAAACAACTCTTGGATCCTCCACTTCTAAAATTTTCAAAAATGCTTTTAATTTTCAAACTTACTTTTTCATATAACATATTATATTTTTAAAAATTTAATAAGTTACACTTTTGACCCACTTGAAAATTTATTTTCATTAAATAATATGACTAATTAAATTGTCAAACCTCTCCTCCAAGGTTAAGCCAGGTCCGGCAATTCCCTTTTTTACGTCCAATCTCAGTCTTAAAAATCACGTCTTATATCACGGTTCCCATGGGTCAGAGATAACCTGGAATTGTCAGAAAATTTTATTTTGACTCTAAAAAGCAGCGAATAGTCAAGGAAAGTTACATATTTTTCTTACAAAAAGCTGAAAAGTTCCTAAATTACGTGTAAATAAACCAGATGTTTTTGTCGTAAGTTGCACTAAGGGTGCATTGTTTTTGTTTTCCAGTGGTGCCATCTATGGCCAATAATTCGACTTGTGCCGCACCCATACGATGCACCTGTGGGGGGAGGGATCCATTCATGCATTCACAGATCATAATTTTGATCAGGCTCCAATCTAGTACCCCCAGAGGTATAATTTGTTGTGGAATTGTGAGAACATGGAGGATTTTGTGACCCAACAAATTTAACGTGCACCAGCCACCATTTACTACACGGGGATATAAACCAGATAATTTCAAGTAACCAGTCTTGAAATTGTAAGCATTAGCAATCAGCTATTTACTCTGCTGCATTTTGAAAGATTTTCTCAATTTCAGGCTTCCTTTTCCACCCTCTGATATCAAACCGAAAAATCTCTCGATCTTTTTATAACAGCTAAAATAATCAAGAAAAGAGTTCTTTGTCAGAAACTGGTTATTTTATCATGATCATGTAAAGTATTTTGCATTTTGTTAATGTATATAGTGCTTAAAAATATTTCTTGAATGCATAAAAAGTGCTTATTTTTTCTTGAAAGATTTGGCTATGCATCCTGATGAATAAGTATTCAATAGTTAGCAATAATTAAGTAGTATATTTAAGGCCACCTTTTTAAACCAAGAAATTTCGACTTACTTTGTGAAAATCCTATCATTTTAGCGAAAGTTATTTAGAGTGATGTCTTTTTTATTTTTTGCTTTGTACTTACTCTTATTTGTCATAACTGGGGTAGTTTTTTATTTTTCCAGGACTATTTTAATTCTTGAAAGTATTATGTGAATTACTTACCGAATTAGTATGGTTCGAAATAACTCTTTCAGTTCTGACTTTCTTATCGATTTTAATGGTTCCAACAGACAAAAAAATACAAACGTAAGGGGTTGTGAACTAATATTTAGCCAGAGAAAAAATAATAATGTTTTAGGAATCATACAAATTACTACAGGAGAAAGCGGATGTACATAGCATTAAAACGTGTTTAATTGCCAGTTGAAGCCTGAAGGTGTTTTGAATAATGCTCTGTTTTCTTCAGCAATCGTGCAAGTTTTTATGTTTTAGTTTTGTTTATGTACCCTCTTTTATCAATAATTATTTCTTAAACGTTTTTTGTTATTTTCTTATGTAAATATTAATTTGCTATCACTTATATGTGTACTTTTTTCTCTTCATTTTGAATAAGGATTCTAAAAATATACATAGAGGGCAGTCATAACAGAACACTCTGTAGTTTCTGCATGAAATTGTCCTATTTTGAATGATTTGTTATATTTAATTTATCAAATTGAAAAAAGAATGTATATTAAATTATTTTTAAATGTACTTAAGATAAATAATTTGATTTCTAATAAAACAAAGACATGTGACTATCCGGCTGTTAGTAAAACTTTTCTTTACTCCATTTCTTTTCTTTCCAGTACATAGCTTATGTTTTTTATTCCAATATTCATATATTACCATAATTAATTAAAAATCAATTGGCGTCGAGTTTTTATGTTTCTCCTAAACGAATTAGTACCACTTTCCCATTAATTTTCGCTTTTGAATATATAAATATTTTTTCTCTATTTCATTACCATTGATTTTATATAAGTATTTTTTTAGAAACACGTTTAAAAGAATTAATATGAATAAAATAAAATTGCGTAGCATCAGGCAAAGTATAAATTTGATGACGTAAACCACGCGTACTAACATGTAATGTTCATTGAATTCATCTGAAATAGTGAATATAAAATAATTAAATACGTGCAATAAACTATTTTTTGTTCAAACAGATTTATAAGCTAGCAATTATCACTGATGTTATCTTTGAAATATGTCAAAATTGAATCGCTAAATTTAAAGCAATGGCTAACGCTTAACCTCAATCGGCTATAATGCTAACCTCAATATTAGAAAATTCCATTTCGTTTTTCACTCATCCTGCAAGATCGATTTGTCGCAGAATGTTCTAATGTTGACAGTGACCTTCCTCGTGCTTGAAACTATTTGTATTGCAAATTTCATCGCTGTCTGTGGGATGGTTTAGGAGTCTATAAAGGACACACACTCATTTATATATAGATAACTGGCGTTTTGTGTTTCTGTAACCGGATTCTGAATTAGTAACTATCAATGATTAACTACGTAACCTTTTAATTTTGAACCCAAAATGTAAAGGAACTCATGGATCAAGCATTGAGACAAGGACTTTTTGATAGAATTAACCCGCATTACATGGAAAGGAAAACATTCTCTAACCGATGATCCGTTTTCCTTTTAGCTGAGCCCATTTTCTTAGATACGCATTTAGACCTCCGTCCATTATGTTTAAACATATTAAAAAGTTCACTGGCAAACTGTTTTTATTTGTAATGTTATGATATAACTGATTTTGTTTTTAAATTTTTCAGACAATTGATACAGCTTATCAGTTAATCTGATGTTGTCTACACTTGTGTGTCTACAGATTCATCAGCAAAGCATTTTTGTAATATATTTTATGTTAAAATTTATTGATACTGTTAAACCATTTCATTGAATGTATTTGTAAAAAAGAATAAAAAATAAATGTTTAAACTGCTTGTCTTTCTTTTTAAAAAAAACTTTTAGTAATTTTGATTCTTGATAATAAAGGTGCACGCCCATTTAAGATATTCCGCTTATATTTTATCACTTTTGCCGCTTGAGATTTACTTGAAACTGATTTCTAAGAGAATAGGCAATTTATTTTCTGAAAATTTCTGGAGATTTAAATTTGTCAAAATAACCCCAAAATCTGTGAATATTTTGTGTGGGTCTTTTAGAATTTTAAATTTTCACTGCATCCAGTTATTCGCGATCGCAAAGCTCGAAAACGCCATCTGGGAGGTGACCGGTTCCATGTATTGACAACACCCCTTTCCCTCTTCACAGCTGTGTTGGAATGCACTACAATATTTCCCCCTTTCTTAATATTTTTCCTATTTAACTGTCAAAAATATTTTTTTAAATTTCCAGGACGCTTTCTTTTAGAACTATGTTCAAAGTAGCTTTTAGTTTATTAACTTAAAAGTTTTTAATCTATTTGAAAATCAAGATAGAAATTAACTTAGAATTAAAGTCTCCACTCTCTAATGCAGAAAGCATGAAGTGTGGCCATAGGTAAAAATCGAGCAAATAAGAAAAAAAATATGATTTTTTACCTTTTTTTATTAATCACACCTGCTTGGATTTACTGCTGCTCATTTTTGCATCAACTTACTAATACTAACTCTTAATAAATTACTTACCACTAATTAATTATTTTGTTAACCTAAATAAAAAAAAATGATTCCTCCTAACCGACTAATGAATTGAACTATACCTGCTTTGTGCTCTCCTTTCTCTCTTTTCTATCACTATTATCTAACTACTTAACTCACAAATTATGCCACATTCGAAAAGGAAAGTAATAGAAAAAAAGGGATGAAAAAAATAATAGAATTTTTCGATGCCTGCTTCCCTGTCACCTTTTAAAAAAATTTAGACGGACACCACCTAAGACCACCCTATGTGTTTTCCCTAGCCTCTACCTGAACAGATGAGATGGGGAGAAATGCAGACAAAAATATTCGTAGAAAAATTTCATGAAGTCTTTATAAAAACGTAATTACAATAAATCTTATTGTAAAAATTGTTTTTAAGATTCTCATCTAATGAGATAATTTTGTGATATAAATAGTGTGCAATAGTACACACATACCATTTTAATGTAATAGTTGTTGTTAATTTACGTCGCACTAGAGCCGCACAATGGGCTATTGGCGACGGTCGGGGAAACATCCCGGAGGATGATCCGAAGACATGCCATCACAATTTTGATCCTCTGCGGAGGGGATGGCACCCCCCCTTCGGTAGCCCGACGACCTGTGCGCGAAGTCGAACACTTTACGGTAGCACAGTTTAACGAGGACCAATACCGCACACCCTCGGTCCCTACGCAAGCTGATCCAAGTGGTCACCCACCCGCACACTGACCGTAGCCAGTAATGCTTGACTTCGGTGATCTGTTGGGAACCGTGTCTTAACAATCAGTCCACTGCGGGACTTTTATGTAATAGAATATAGCGCCCTATAAATGCGAGTGTTAAATACGAATAATAGTATAATTCTTTTTGTATATCAGATCTAAAATTCTTTGGCTTTGTGAAAGAGAAAAAAAAATAGCGAAATTTTTTAAAATTAAATTTGCTTAAATTTTAGATGTGTTTACAGATTTTAAAATACATCCTAATTGCTCATGCTATTTTTTGAACTTTTATGTCAATAGTTAAGATATTTTAGAATTTCGTGCTTTTTTATATAATGTGTGCTTTTTAATTTAAAATTCAAGTTTGCAGTATGATGTTCTCATTTGATTTCCCTTTTAATTGAATTCTATCAAGAAAACACATTGCATCATAAAAAAAAGGTTTCCCTCCAGTATTGAAGAAATAAATATTTATAGAAAATTTTGAGAATGAGGGTATGAAACCGTAACTTCTTATTGGTATTTTAACCTGCTCTAATTTTATCAGTTTTCATGACTCTCTTTTAATCGATACTCGAATCTGTTTGAACAGTTTTCGAACCTACTCAGTTTTTATCAATACTCGAACCCGCTATAATTTGATCAGTTTTAAAAAATAAGTCTTCTGACTAATACTCTAACCCACTAAATTTCTATTGGTACTTGAACCTGCTACAATTTGGTC